TTAAWTTTTTTGGATAACTGTTCGAAAACTTTATGTCAGAAATTTATGTCACTGGTAGATACATTTTAAAATGCAACTATTTGTTCAGAAATGTTTAAGGTTACCACCTATAAATGTTCTTATTTATTTGTTGTTTATGATATGAATTATTTATATTGATCAATATAAACCATTACCTAATTTATTGTTTTCCGTCAACCGTATTTACTTTAGCATATATATATATATATATATTATATTATATTATATATTTAGAAATATCAATATAAATTTTTCTTGTATACCTACCTACTTTAATTTCTTTATGCTTTGGGTTTATTATCATAGTTGAATTTAAGATAGCAATTATTATGTTGTACAACACAAATCATAATGCTAAATACATATATTATCTTACAAAATATTGAATTCTATTTTACATAACAAATCGATTTTAATATGCAAGTKTTATTATTTTTAAGTTATATGATAGAAATTTCAGAAGGTATTAATTAATTTTCCGAGGGTAATATTTTGAAATATTTAAATTTCATTAAATCCAGGTTTTTAACACATCTCCCTAAACCTGAAGACAATATATATATATATATATATAATGGGTTTAGGATGGTCTTGTAAATTATCAATTTGATCTTGAAATATAGCATGCGAAGCCGGGTGTTCAATAATTGAAGTCTCCTTGCAACGATGTCTAATGGTCTAGATACTTAAATATGGTATTTTAAAACTACAATGACTTAACGTTTAAAAAAAGAACTGTCGTTCGATAGCAACATTTAATTTGTTTTGGCATTGACATTTTAACTATGCCTAAGTACATCCTATCAACGTTTGTGTGTACATGGGGCAACTGATCAAAGACCTATAAAATGATTTTGAATGACCAATAAATAATTGACAAATATTCAAGAGATTGATAGTCAGCACCCGGTGGAATCAAAAATTTTAAAAAGTTTGATGGAGTTGATACACGATGCAATTGATAAATTTTTTACAGGTAAAAAGACGATCTMGGCGCAATTGGTATATGCCCGTAGCATATGAAAATATTGTTTTTTCGGTACGTGCAGTAAGGAGTACATATACAGCAGGAGCATAACATCAAAATAATTATAATATTTATAGACTTTTGTAGATACGGAAATACTTAACACTGTTGTTGAATAATATATTTAGGAGAACGGGTGGTTGATTTTCAACGATGGGCTAAGTTAGAACTTCAATACATATTTGGACCTGTGTGCATCTGTATAGGGTGCAAGGGATTCGTAAATAAGCTTAATCTATTTTTAAGAAAAGATAATGGTATATTTATAATATTAAATGGTACGTATGGTTATCTAACTAAATAAATAATAGAAACACTTTTTGTGGACTTTATATAGATGTATAATTTATTATGATGTTCTATTATTTTTTATAATAAAGTGCTATGATATATTTAGTGCATCTTTATCAGAGCTATTAATTTAAATGGATGCAATGCAATCATACAATTTCATGAGATATTTTACTCAACATTCTTAATCATAGGGTTATCTTATTATCATAATAATATTATGTTTATATAGGCATGACTATATAATATATTATTTTTATTATTATTTGGTATTATTTGGTATTATATTGTATTTATTAGTTCGATGTTAAATATTGTACGATTTATACCCTATCGGCTTTCATATTGTTAATGATGTTCACAAAAATTAGACACCACATTGGTATCTTCTGGTATAAACTATAAATTCTTAATTTAAATGATTTTATCAAATTCCTATCGAACTAAGATCTTGTGACGGTAATAATAAAATATTTAAAGGAAAACACCTAAAGCATTATAACGGAACCTCCACGCTGTGCGCTGTCTGCACGCGCGTGTCCAATTAAATTATAAATGTTGAACGGCCTCTAAGTATAGTATAATATTGCAGTCGTGTCTGTCCATATCGCACGCATATATGTTATAATGACAACGGCTTATCCAGGTTAATTTTGAATAAAAACAACCGTTTACACGACTCGTTGGTGTTATATGATAGGTATGTATTTTTCTATCGATTTTTTTTAGARAAGTATATTTTTTTATTATATTAACGATGCCAATGTGGATTATGGGTCTATAGGTAGTTATTACAATCATTCAATTTGAAACATACATATTCAATATTTTTGGGGGTGAATTCTCAGACATTCAAACCCTTTACGCTGTGTATATATTAATTAAGTTGAGGACTTTTTAAATYTGGCTAATTTGAACTATAATTAAAACAGGTTTTGACTGCAGGAAGATCTATTGAATCTAGATTGTTAATTTCTGTAATGTATTTTTTTTTTTTTTAACAATGTTAATGTTATATAATAATGGTGTATACATATTGAAATATTTAATTTTCATACAAAAACAACACAATAAAAAAATGTTTGGAATGCATAATTTAACTGTGTCTCGAGTTAAAACTTATAACAATTTTTAACTATARTAAACAATGTAAACGTTCTCTCATTCATTGTCCTGTATCCTGTCATGAATAAAGGAAAAAGTCGTTACTCTGTGTTCAAATTAATTTTACTAATAAATAATATTATATTATTTTAATGATAATTGTCATAAATAGTTATGTATCTGTGACCTGTTGTACACAAAATTAAATAAGCTAAAGATTATTACATAATGTAATGTTATAGCTGGGAATAAAAAAACGAAGTACCTATAACCTATTTTATACCTCAATATAGTATCGGTATAGACAATATACAGACAGTTATTCGTTTTAATTGATAATATTGACTTCAATATTAAAATTAAAATAAAATATAAAAAGCCTTTTATTTAATTTTTGGGGTACACAKGTCCCATGTGTATCCCCTAGTCGTACTAATGGGGTGATCTTGTTTTCCCGCTTTTCCGTTATGTAAAGCCGCCACATGAAATACGATAGCCCAACCAGTTAATACATAATTTCTACTACAATAACAATATAAAATATTACAGAGGATTACGTTGAGTGATTAACGTCCGAAAAGCAAATATACTTACTCATTTAAATGATTCGTCGAAAAACCAATTACTCATCTCTCGCGTCATTGTAATAATATGATATACTAAACACGAATGTATATGGTCGAGTGCGTTTTTTTTACTGTCCAGTAACCACCCGGTCGAGGACATTGCGCAGGTCAAGTAGAGTGTGACACATATAGTATATTGGACTCCGCTTATAAGATTCACTTTGGGACAAGCACAAACCTACAAAAGTGAGTCTTTCAACCAAATTAACCTAATAGGTGAAGTGAGGAAAAACGAAAAAAAATTTTATATCAGGTACGTACCTATCTTTATTTTTAATTTTAATTTTACACATTATTATTAATTAAAAAATGTGTTATATTTGTTTATAATGTTCGTATTCGTATTGCACATTAAAATTAGTGTTTTGGTGATGTGAAATTCGATARCAATTGCCGTACAAATACGTCATTCATTGATACCATTATAATACAACAATAACTTTTTTTTAAATAAATAAGCTTCGGCGTCTATGGTCATTGGCATACAAGGAGTCTTAAGATTAACAATTTATTTATATAAACAAATTACAGATAATAAACTATTGATAATAAGATTGGTCTTAATTAAAAAGGTCATCATGTGACTTATGTTATCTGAATGGAGTGCTTCCKCAGACATAACGTTTAATACCCCAGCATCTCGTTTGTCCGTTTCATAGGAAATGCATTCGGATACAATGTATTCGATTGATAGGAGTGTACCGCAACTGGCGTATATGGGCGTTCCTGCAATATATTTATTAACATTAATATATTTATTAAATAGTCTTAGGTTAGTATTCTGCGTATTACWATTAACATTTGTATATACAGGAACCATATATCTAATACTATCGTATACCAGGTTCCAAATACTTGTTCKGTGTCGGCGTTTGTCGGAAATCGAATTGGTTGAATGACGATTTTCGAGATATGTTCAACGAATAATATGACTGAAATTCTTAACAAAAAACTTTTTATGCCATCAGCTATATTATTTAGCTGAAATAAACGGAAGTATGATGACTTCCTGTATTTCAGTATAGATACAAAGTCCTTGTATTGTACGCAATGAAAGTCTCTATCCTAAACGACCCAAACCAGTCATTGACCACACTGCGTGTTACTTTTTTTTATTGGTTTTCAGAATTGACAAATCATTTCCTAGCCCGATATAAAAGAAACACGATCGGGAATAATATAAAATATTGTAAAAACTTTGAAAATATTTTCAAATTCTGAAAACCAATTTGCAAAATTTTGTTAAATGTTCATGGTAGTGGGGCAAATTTCAAAAGGCCGGATCTCCGATGACTATAACCTGAAAAGTCTTGGGCGAACTTCATCACCATGGACARATATCAGTATATCTCATTGCTTAACGATCTACGATTTCTATATTATAGTGAAGTTACCCATGAGTTGGCGTACAATTATAATATAAATCATTCGATTTTAACAGATGATTTTCAGGGCAAATTCGTACCTTTATAGCCATTGAAAAACTGTCAACAGTGGACCAAATACAACATTACATCAAAGTGTGTTAGGAACTACAAAATCTAATTTCCAATGACTCAAATTCTATATAAACAATTATGACCTGGTGATGAAACATATTGAAATGGATGTGATCCTGAAACCAAAGTCCAATGTCGTCAAATTCGAGGACATTCAAACGATGAGACCGTAAAACGGATGACCGCCGTGGTGTGCACGCGCGCAGAGTTTTCTTCTCGGACCGCACCGGCACACCGCGGCCCTCACGCGCCCGTTGACGTCATCGCCTCCATCGCCGACGCCTCCGTCGCARCAGCAACCGCAACCGTTGAACGGCGTGGCACGTAGCCGTGACCTCGGTCCGATATCGGTGTGGTCCAGGGGGAGGGGGGAGCGGCTAGCGGCGCATCATCGGTCTTTATATGCACCGGTGGACTCGCGGGGCCGGCCAATTGTCGCGGAACCGTTGTCGTACCTACTGCAACCGTGGTATCATATTATAACTGTTGTGTTATTGTTTTGCGCGCGTAACCGGTTTATCCGTTCGAGTCCCGCACCAGATATCGATAAGAGTCCGTCGTTCGTTTTTGTTTTATTTTCAGATAATTATCTGTCGCTCACTTGTAGACGCGTATACGATCGATTATCATAATAATAATAATTGCCCKTYTGAAAACTACCACTTCCGTGAATTCACATCTGATCGATTTCGCAACGAATTTCCTTAAGCTGCCTACGTCGTTGTACCATCGCCCCCAAACTGGTAAGTCATACGAGATTGTGTTATTATACTATAGTCTATAATACGTTATAAAGTCGTTATAGTATTATAACTGCACACAGTATTTCAAACAGTATTACTTATCGGTTTAAATAATCTGTTTTTAGGTCATAACAAAATAACATTTTAAACATTTTTAAGTTTTACTTTTTTTTAAATGACAACATATTTATATTTTTAATTACACATTCCACAGCAGAATTTAATTTATAGTTTTCTGCTTATAAAATTCAATTTTCCGACGATTAATTAATGAGTWATAAAGTGTGAATCAACTTTAGGTGGAGTACGCCACCATAAATCCCACCCAAAAATATTCTGAATTTTAATAAGGAATTTAAAATTTTTCACTGTCATAAAAAAAAAAATTAAAAATTAAAACAATAAAAAAAGTACAAAATGTAGTATTGTGACGATATGAATAAATGTAATATATAAATTATCTACCAGGTATAGTCCTGTACTCCTGTTGCATATTTGGGACGCAGGGTTTCGTGCATAGCCATTAAGCGAAAGTGTTATGGAAATTATATAGTGAATGATCTAACGTTAYAAGCATTTTAAATTAGAGAAGATGGGTTTGATTATGGTTTTTGTTTTCTTCTTTTAAGTCCGTTAGATGGTCGTTGATGAACCACGCACACTCTAGTTTTCATACATCGAAACACATAATGAAATATCATAACATGTGCACGCACCCCAATTAATTCTAAAATTTGTCTCGCATGCGTTAAAATCACATCCACTGCCTTTATCCGTGATTTTTGAAATAACGATGGTATTCGTATTATAATCTATGATATATATATATATATATATCATAGATAAATGATATGTAGTCAAACAATGTTTAGCAGTCGTTTCCAAGGCTCGGTTAGCCGGTTAATCCACTGCCGACCAAGCGGGTGTGCAACAGATGGCGAGTGTCAAAGTTTGTTTGTTGTCCCCGTCGCGCGTCGCCTAAAAGTCTGCAACGGCGGCTGCTGGGTGCGACGCGTATTCAAATGGCCAAAAAGTTTCCCGACGTATTTGATTCATTTCATCTCGTCACCACTATTCAATATAATATAAGTATACTATGCATATCATTGTCACTTGTCGTCTGTTGTTCGTCATATTATTCTATAATTTACATACTATACTTTGTATCCACCAGGCTCTGGACACTCTAAAATATTATCAATGGTGATACTGATTTCTTCCCAAAAAATGGGATTCGTTTATCAGATTYCTCTATGCTTCTCGTATAATTATTCCTTATCAGGGTTAATTCTGATTTATTTATTCTATGTATCTACCTTTAATGTTACGTAAGAAGGGCTTTTGAAAAACAGTTTTTTTGTTTTTGTCGATCATTTATTCACCACTTATAATTGCTGCAAACATAGGTCGTCATATTATTTTTTCAAAGATTTTTTAATTCGGGATGAACAATAGTGAATATACTATATATTAAGTATAAACACACTTTCCATGGTGTAATAACAACCATTTATAGATATTATTATAACGMAAAATATGCTTACGGCTGAAAACTAATTTAAAATATCGATTCGCAAAATGAATTGTTTCACTTTCAGTAAGCGTTTCGCAGTAATTAATTTTTATAAAAACATTTTTCATCGTTCATTTTTCTAGTTTACGTTTATTGTTAAATAACTTGGAAAATAATAAGTTTGATTGTATTTTTATTTTTTATTTCTATTACAATATCGCGYAAGTGAAGATGTGTTAGACGTGATCCTTTAGGAAGGAAACAATATAAGTTAATGTGAGGTACTTGTCAATGCGATGTTATGAAATTTTATGAAAGAGCTTAATAAAAAAAAAAAAACTTTTAAGGTGAGATATAGTATTTTAGTTATTTCTTTTGATGTTTGATAAACTATAAACATAATATTATATTATGTTATAATATTATAATATGTTATATTGGTATACATTTAAATTAAGTTTGATTTAAACTTGTATAAAAATGACCTTACATAATAAGTATGTAAATATGAATCAATCAATAATAACAATGGTGTGACACTAAATTGCAATAAGCTATGAAGTATTAAAATAAATAGTAATAAAACAAATTGATAGTGCATTGTATTATTTTAAATGATTTAATAATCAAATCTATTATCAGAAATTAAAAAAAATTACAATTTTCAGTGTTATTCAAATTCATTTTAAATGGAAAATATTTAATTAAAATTAAAATTATTTATTACAAAAAATTACAAAGGTATGCAATATAACATTGATGTACACAATATTTTAATTGGTTACTTGATTTAATTATTAATATTAGAATTGTTAATAACTTGATTGTAATTTTAAAGTTTGTTTGCTAAAACTTCCGAATTTTAAATGCATCCAATGGAATGCCATAATATTTACCATAGCCAGTATATTATAGTAGTGGTACACTTATGTTAAAATATATTTGAATATTTTAGTTAAATAGTCAGAAATTTATTATTATAATATCACTAGTTGGATATATTACACTATAGTAGTTACAAGCTAAGTCTTTGTTTGATGGTTGCGATTATTTACCAAACTATATCAAACTATACAAAAACTACACTCTTTATTACTAACAAGTACTCCATTGATAGTTGTATTACAAAAAGCTTGACCACGATGGAAAATACGAATCGATATAATACATGCGATATATTTAGGAGCAAAACTGGAAATTTACGTGTAGGAGAACGTAACAAAAAATTATCGAAAAAGATCGAATARCGTCAGACAAATTTACAGCAGTGTATTGAAAGATAGTAATATAACAACYGTCGTCAAGATGCTAATAAATAATGACGTCAAATATACCTGTAGCAATCCCCGCACGCACTATTATGATTATCGATCCGGTGCATATAATAATTGAGTCCCATAACTGAACAAGAAAAAAAAATAGTATACTTTTTGAGTCCTAAAACAAAGGTAAAATATACCAATCAAATCCACTATTGGGAAACGAAAAATATATTAATCGAGTCCTTGGGAAAAGTAATGTAATACATATATTATATATATACATATATATCAATCGAGTCTGTACATTTATTTTTATTTTGTATGTTGCGCATTTCTATAGTTCTGGTTAAATTGAAAATACCAGTGATGTTGAGTGTATTATATAATATATTAAGGTATGTACATTAACTGAACCTAGCTAAAAGATACTACCAAAGACCACGAAATTAGAGAAGAATACAGCATTATTATAAATAAAGCTAATATAAAGCTTTGAATACAAAAAATAAATATCACTTAAGTTTTCACCTATGTAAGTGTCATAATATAAACTATTCAATGTATGTCTTTATTATTCTAAACAAACTAATGATATTCAGTATATTACACACATTTTATCAAATGTGTAAACAATATGCTTAACCATATCCGTAAATTATTTTCTACAATATTTGACGGGACTCCATTATTTAGTACTAAAACACGGCCTCAATTAGTGTTATATTATTTTAATATGCTGTTAAAGCTTTTATTGGGAATCAGTTTTAATGCAGCCGATCGATCTATCGTGGCATATTTCCACTCCGGAAATCGACAACGATTCACGGAAGCGGCCGTCGTGCATCCTCCGAGCGGTGTCATCATYCAGGGTCCAGGCAAATATGTAATGAGGAAAGTGTTTAAAAATAACTTTAAAAAACCCAACTACCGTCCTACAGAGATACAAAATAATACGAAATAATACGAACGATTTAGCGGTGACTAAAATAATATAATAGTGTAATGCGTTTAATTAATAATAATAATAATGTTGCCAACGGTCGTCGTGCACGCCTCGTTCAAGGACGCGTGTGTAACCGTACGCAACGTGACCTGGTAGGATTCCCAGGTATTACGTTATAATACAGGTACATCTATTCTGTTGGTCGTGATTTTGATCTGCGAGTGCAGTAACGTCCGAAAAACGTCGTCTAAGCGTAGTTATATTATAAATACATTTTAGTATTACGGTTGATATACCTATGTGTCACTTAGAAATTTTTAAACGCCAATAYTTGTTGCCGTTTCTTCTGTATTAATATGATTGATGGTTGTTTTAGTTAAAATTCCGTATTCAACCATCAATAATATTTTATGGCGCCGTTTTTAATTGGAAATGCACTGGCGCTAATTCGACGTGGATAATAATAACTACTATACTAATTTGTCGTAACTCGTAATACATTTCGAAATATTCAGTTCGTGTTTAAGTGCGAGGTTTTCCACATTTCCAAAACGACATTCTGCGACGACTAGTCAAACTTTATATCCAAAAATATTTATCACGCTAACTGTTCGACTCCTGGTGGAATATTTTACGATTTCGTTTCGGCGCCAGCGACGATACCTCATAGTAATAATATGTTAATACCATTGAACGGTTCGATTGATTGTTCGTTTTACATATTGTTTTATCTATTTGTGCATTAGATGACATATCGTGAAAATTAATATTTTACTGGTTATGTGTTCAATCGTGCATAATATTATCCGCCATTACGATTGCACAATATTTTACATCCAAATTTTCTGAGCTCTGAATAATCGTGAAATGGATAGGTATGAAGGAATTTCACGTGTGAAAGTTACCGGTTTTTAATTGTAATTTATAACTTATATATTTATATTTTATTTTAAACGATAGATTAGTGTAGGGTTATTTTTGTGTAGGAACCTCTATTAATCCCGAAATTATCAATTTTTGAATACAACTATAATATGTTAATGTAGTCAACGACCTGAGATCTTCTTATGTAGGTATCTATTCACAAGCAATATTCTCATTTAACTTTTTGAACAGTATACCGATTTTGTCATCACATATAGTATAATATGTCATATACAATAAATTAATGTGTTTTAAAATATGTTATTTGAATTAACTATAAAACTAGGTATCTAATAATTTAGTTGAATAAAAAATCAATTTAATAACAACTTCTTCTCAATAAAATTTTAATTTTAAT